ATCATATAATAGATTTATTTATTCATGTATGGAGCATATAATTTGAAATTGACCACACCTATATCTAAGGCCCTGTTTGATTCACCTTAATTTTGCTGAACTGAAATTATTTTTATTGAACTAAATTATTTTTACTGAACTGAACTTAATTTTACTGAACTGAAATTATTTTTACTGAACTTAAATTATTTTTACTGATTTTCTATTATAATTCTTCTTTAAAAAAACTGAATTTTACTGAACTTATTTTTACTGAACTGAAATTATTTTTACTGAACTGAACTTATTTTTACTGAACTGAAATTGTTTTTACTTAATATTATTTTTTTAAGGTGAAGAGAACAGGACCTAATTCTCCTTTTCAAGTTGATGTTGCAACAAGTTACAATTTCAATTCAAGCATCTATTGCAACAAATTTCGGTTAGAGAATTATTGACATGATACTTTGAGTTAATGACCTTTACTCATAATATACCTACAAGTTAAATTCAAAATTTTCTCTTCAATATTAATTTGAAAAACCTTGAATTGGAAAAATATTTAATTTTCAATCAAAGGAACCAAACAATCTTACAAGTTTCTCATGTGTTTTGTTTCTTGTTAGCATAGTCATATACTTGTATACCCTAAAAAGGGTGTAGAAAAAATTGTTGGGAAGATCAAAACGAAACATATGCATCCAACTTAGGATACTTATGTTTGCTTTGGTGAAAGATGATTATTTATGTTGATAAACCAAAACACTTCTTATGCCATTATCACCCCTCTTTTCAAGACTTTAAGAACACAAACTTCAAGCCATGCATCTTTTCTTTTTCCTTTTTCCTCTTTCTTCTTTAGAGATGCTCTCAGTACCATTTTTTTTTAAAGAGTAAGGTTGTTCAGATTGCCTTTCTAGTTTGTACCACAATCTCCAACTTTTTTTGCAATATATATTCTGTCTTTTTTTATTGGCTATATTTTACATAATTTACGCATCATAGATTATTATATACATATATTAAAAAAAAAAATTATGTTAAAATTGAAACAAACTTAACAATATATTACATTAATTTTTCAATTTTTATACTAAGGGTATGTTCTCATACGTTTATTTTCAGTTCAGTTCAGTTCAGCTTCTAATTTCCTTCTCTAATAAAATATTCATTTCATTTCAGTTCAGTTCAGTCTATGAGAACAGGCCAACTAAAGTTGCAATAAAGGAATTTTTTATGTCTTAGTTATTATTGTTGCAACAAAAAAGAAATGGAGGTTGTATATAGCACAAAATATATACTATAATAAAATTTTTTAATAATTAAACTCTATATCATCAAAATAAAAAGAGACGGAGGAAATATTAAAATTATTAAACATACCATATGTTAACTTAAAGGAGGGTTTAAACTCCCAAAAATTCTGTATTAAGAGACCATATGGTATATATAGTAGCTTTATGAGTTAATTATCATAAATGTATCCACTAGTGTCACGTGTACTTAATTAGGGTTTAGTCAAAATCCATTAACAGTCCATCTTAATTCAACAGTAGTAATTATTATTCCTCAATAAGTACTTATTCACAATAAATAGAAATCCCCTTGGATTGGACCCAACTTGGGGGGGGGGGGGGTGGTCCTCTAAATACTAAGGGCTTTTTGGTGCTTGAGATTCGAGCTCTGATCTTACGAGTGCCCCTCCACCACCTACACATACTCTCGCTCTACCAGAAGCCAACACACTCCTAGACTGATTTATTTGCTTGCAACAAGACAACAACTTATTAGTTTACTAAAGTTTTGGGTGAAAAAAACATGTATTTTGATTCATGACTATCCATATACTTTCGATATACTAACTAATAAGAAAAGAATTTTAAAATTATACTGTTTTAAAATATTATATTACATCTGTCACATATTATGTGTAACTTTGGCTATTAGTTGTGAGATATAAAAAATAGTTGTGAGATATAAAAAATTTCAAAGTTGCACATAATATATAATAGAGATAGTATATATGAGTTAAACTGTAATTGTATATATGAGTGTCAAGACTCCCTAATTAGATAGACCTTTCGTTATTTATTACTTACAATCCGAGATTAGTTATGTATATATAATGCAATAGAAATACTCTATAGTTTGAACTCTTTTGTTTAAAACTCCAGTTATACAAATTATATAAATTCAATTTTTAGTCGATAAGAAGAAGGCTTATTAGTCCGAAACTCATGATGAGTCAACCCAACTCAAATTAACTAGCTAGACTGTTTGAAAAAAATTTAGAGTTAATCGAAGTCTACATTTTGAAAATGATTAGTTTGTATTAGGATGGATGATTAGGCACTTGTATAATAATGAAATAAAGTGAGATAAATTACTAAAATGTAACAAATATTCAAAATTACCCAAAATAGAAAGTACTCCTCGTATTTTTTTTGTAAGGTAAGGCGAAAGACCCTGACTGTAATTCAACCCTCACATTTTTTTTTTGGTTCGGTATTTGTGGGTCGGACGCTTTGATAGTGAGGGGAAAGGGTAAGAGATCACCACCCTCAAAGTGTCTCTAGTTGTATACTCGTATGTATTTACAACGCGCCAGAAATACTTTATGATGATGATGAGGTTCTTTAATTAAATTCTGTAGCAATTATAGTACGGAGAAATAGTTAAATAGTGATAAATCCCAAAGCTAGCTAGTGTGGGTAGAAGAGGGAGAATAGATATAGAGCATTAAAAGTGAGAAGAGGAGATGTGGATCTCAGCCTCTCAGGCTGTATAATGACAGTCGTCCACATTGAATGTCAAGGATCCACGACTGGCTAAACTATTTAAATTTGGAATTCTCTTTCTTCGGAACTTAAAACATCCAAAGGATAACTAGATTATTTCACCTTCACCAAACCATTGTCATTAAACTTTATTTCTTACGTCCCGGCTTAACGGATACTGCTTAAATTATACACCTTCATTTCTTATATTAGCTTCATTTTTCTTTTTATGTCGTCCTTAAAAGATCATCTCATACCTTAAATGTCTTTAGGAGAAGACAACATATTTATTATCACAAAAACTATAACTAAAAGTTAATAAAGTAAAATATGACTTGGAGACGAACAATTAAGAATAGAAGGAGTATTTGTACTTATCAATTAGTCAAATTTCCATCTTTCTCTCTATATGCATTTTTACAATAGATTTTTTTAATCAGTATTTAAGGCTTCTTAGGCAAAATCGTGCATGAGACAATGGTTACATATTAACTCTTCGAAATGTCGTTTGTTAATGTCTGTTAATTAATTACTCTATAGTATTTGATAAAAGTCCAAAAGTAACCCTAACTTTTACCTCTATAGAGACATGATAAGTAACAATTTATACCTCATCACCAAAGAGCGGGACTAATTCAATTAGGATAGCAAGAACACGGTTTTGCAATATGCTAAAGACATAATGCATGATCACAACTTTAAGGTAAAAGGTGCATATACACAGTTTTTATACAACTACCTTGAATATTATCAGCAACTCATGAATACAACAATCAAATTGACAAAATTAATCAACAAAATCATATACTATAAGATACGAAGTATGTCTTTTATATCCAAAATAGAAGCCTTTTTTTTATCTTTAGAAACTTTAGGTTGATTCATTTTACACATACCATTGCTTTAATGATAAAACTTTTATAAGTTTATCATCTACTTTCGACCTTACCCAAACACCTATCATCGACCACGTTCAATTTCTATTTCCCAAAGCATAAAATCTAATTGATTCTTGGCAACAAGGTAACTCAAAAATACTTTTTTTTTTTTTGGTTTTTTTAAGCTATACCCCTAAGGTAGTCGAGTTTCTAAGGTGTACCCATGCTTTTTCAAGTTTCTAAGCCGTGTCCTTCAACTTCTTATCAATACTAAAATGTACCCTTATTAGTTATTTAAGAGTTAATTGAGAGTGTGATTTCGTGGCTTTAGTTTTCATTAATAGGGTTGTTGTGGTTAATATTTCTTTCTCGTATCATTTTCTTACCTTTTATCATCTTTTTATAAAATTTATAGTTAACTTTAGGTGATGTGGAAGTCCCAAGGAGAGTACCATTCATTAATGGTAGTGAGTTGAGGGGCACAATTAAGAAATTTGAAAAAACATGAGTATACCTTAGAAACTCGACTACTTTAGGGGCATAGCTTAGAAAAACCTTTTTTTTTTTTTTATATAAGGAAAATAAAAATAGTTATCTTTTTTTTTTTTTTATGAACAAAATATATTATCTTATCTAGGAATGTATGATAATAATGGTTGAAAATAATTACTCGTAAAAATAATGAAAAGAAAAAGATGAGGAAAAAGTTTATGAGACTGAGTTGTGAGTAGCTGCACAAAAGAAATCTGACACGATTGTTATACGTGCATGAACCATGGTTTTCATCGTAAAAACCAGAAGTTCATTTGATGCAACTTCACTTTCTTAATATTTACTCCATCTTTCATAATTTTTCAGTTTTTGGGACATTTATTACGTTCACTACACTGACCAAAAATAATGAGATTTTTTTTTTAATACTTGTATAGTAGTTAACATAATGTACTCCGTAATAAAATTAGACAAAATATTTATACTTATGTAAAATTTAAGCATTTGACCAACTAATTTGGTCAATAAAAACTTGGGATTAGAGTAGAAACTAGAATTTCATTTCTTAAATGGAAGCTTCTTGTCAGTTTAATGGAGAATGTTAGGGCAGATGAAGTTTTAATGCGTGATATTAACTTCATCCTTCTGCAACATTTGGCTTGGGACTTGGGAGAGGAAAGAGGTGTGGCCTTATTATGAAATAGTACAGTTTGTGACCACTGAACGTTGCACCGAGGAATTATCTCCATACATGATCTGGTTCGATATGCCATATACTTAAGATGTGAGGCTAGTGAGGCCAACTATGTTTCTTCTTCGACATATGTCTGTAGCAATAGGGAACCCTAAAACATTATTGATACCGGAAGGGAAATGGTGAGAACGAAAAGGGTACATTCCAAGTCTTATAAAGATTATGCTTTAAGATTACAATTAGAAGACAATTATCATGCGGTATTGGAGCTTAATACAACAGTTGTCTCTAAAATTATTTACCCATGAAAACTGCCATCAAAACTAATTAAAAAAAAAAAAGAAAAAAAGTTGACTGGATAATCATACAATTTCCATTTACAAAGGTTCTGTGCATAAATATTTGTCCAGATAACAGGAAATCAATGACATTCAAGCCCACCTCCTTCAAGGAGCAGAGTTGTGAGTTTACCCATCTATGCCTCGTCCATTTGGTCCTGCATGTCCAGAGAGTGGTGAGATGGTCAGTTCATAGAGGACCGGAATTTCTATAACATATGTACAAGGCGTTTTATGCGACAGCATACAGTTACAGTATTACCCTCAAAGAAGTAAATATGGATCCTAGAGTATAATCAACTATTTCCATTCCAAAAATATGACAAGACAAACTGATGTTAAAATAGTTAGTTATTATCCTAATGTTAACACAGTTATTGGCCAATATGTTTCTTAAAAAGCCAATGGTACTGGGTAATCAAGTAAACAATTGATATTACCAAGACCAGGGCCAATATGCTTCTTAGAAACGGCTATGGTACAGGGTAATCAAGTAAACAAACGGTATTAAAAAAACCGGGGCATGTTATTTAGAAAAGGCTATGGTATAGGGTAGTGATTAAGTAAGCTATTAACCTATTAACAAGATCTGGATCAAGCGGTAAGGCAACATGAAGTGTAACTATGATCAAAGTTTATAGTAGTATGTATCTAAGAACCTACAGAGGTAACAAGATCATCCCATCATCATTGCCTAGAGTGTAATTGCAGGTTACTTGTATGTTTGAAAGGTAACTTTCTGTTCATCGATTATATCCCCTGCTTCTCCAACAAATTAATTGGGCTAGCAAGTTACAACTCTATCTTGGCAGAACAAAAGCAGCAACATGAAAACTACCATCAGAGTTAAGCTTGACATAAAAGCACTGTCACGTACCTGCATATCTGATGTCCAAAGAGTGAGATTATCCCGCAATAGTTGCATTATGAGTGTACTGTCTTTGTAGGATTCTTCACCCAAAGTATCAAGCTCAGCTATGGCTTCCTCAAAGGCCTTCACATACAACAACAATGGTTAATCTAAAGATTTAATAGTAAAAATAAGACCTAATCTGCCACAAAGGATTAGTCATATAGCATGCCTTCAAATGTTAAAGCATCCACCACTCAATACGGATCCAATTTAAGTGACATGCATATCTGAAATAATGCAACAATCTAAAAGACAATCCTTGGTTAGCATAAAACAAAATTGAAGTCTCTGTCATCAAGAATGTGGTGAATACAAATACTATAACAATCTAATACACAGTCCTTGTGTAGTGCACTGACAAATTGACTCCAAATACAACATGAATTTAGTGATTCTAAACACAAATTGAAAGCTCTACTAAAATATCAAAATTCTAACATTTCTTCAATCAATTTATGATAAAATTTTTAAAAATTGTTGAAACTAAAGAATAAATCAAGAAATTCCATTTATCAACAAAATGCAGAAGTTATAAGAGTAATAAACACTACTTGTTCCCAAAATGATTACACAGGCAACTGATGATAAAAACACACCAACATCTAGGATCAACATTTTAAAATCTTGAGATCAAGATACTCTTAGGAATATTCTTAGCGCATTTTTGCTTCAAAGTCTATACAGGGAAATGATATGGAATCGGACAAGGTGGGGGAAATGATTTTTTTTTTTTTGCTCGTCCCTTCCGTTGTAAATGTGTTTGATCGGCGACTTTTTTTTTCCTTTGTTAAGCCCAAAAACCAATAGTGATAAGGCCATCAACCTTCTCTTCTCATTACACACTTCACTTGAAATGGTTCAAGTGCCTCCTCACCCTTCCCTATTTCTCTCCTTTTCACTACTTGGAAATCACAGAGATTACAGAAGATTCAAGCTGCAAAAATGGAGCAAATTTCATTCAAGTCAACTAGCTGCTCAGCCTGCACATCACTCTTCTGATGAAGGACAGGTTCAAATTTCATCACTGTTGACTTTGCTGGCAATCAAAGTATTGTAAGACTTCGTCATCCGCCCATCCTAGTTTATAATGATGTATGAGCCACATTTGGCACCACCAGTCCACCACCATCACATTGGACCAGGTAAACATCAAATCAGATAAAAGTTTTGGTTGGTCACTTCTTGGTGACTCATCTTCAATTTAAGTTTGGAAGCTGGTAATGGTGTTGCCTATCTCTATCCCCCACCCCCCTCTCTTCCTCTTGCTGGACACTAATGGTTGGTGATATATGGAGTAAAAAGCTGAGCTACAGCAAGGAGGTGATGATGGGGCAGTAGATAGTGATTGTAGAGTTGTTTTTCAATACCTCTAATAAACAGAATGTGTTTTCTAACTTCTAAGTGGACAAGACGGTAACATTTTTTTTTAATGGTAAGGACTCTAAGGTTAGGGTCCCTAACTAGACCTCAACCCTCACGATTTTTTTGGTTTAGTATTTGCGGGCCAGACACTTGAGAGTTAGGCGGGAGGTAAAGAAATACCTACCGCTAAGGCCCTAAGCACCCCTTAAAAAGATTCAAACCCCAAACCTCAACGATTTGAGGTAAGAACCTTACCAAGTAAGCCAACCTTTCTTAGTAGAGTTAATTTAATAGCCACTAAGTGTCATGCCCGCAATTAATGGACCAAAAAAACCGTGAGGGTTGAGGACTGGTCAAAGTCCTCCTTACCAATAAAAAAAAAATATAGCCACTAACAATGGTAAAAGAAAAGTATTCATCAGAATCAAACAAAAACAAATAGAAATAGCCACTAACAACTTCTACTCCTTAGTGCCATGATTAAAAACTATGAGGGTTAGAACCAATTAAATTGATCTGAAAGCCACTAACAACTTCTACTCCACAGTGTCATGCCTGCAAATACTAGAAACTGGACAAAAAAAAACTATGAGGTTCAAGTCTGGTCATAGTCCTCCAACATTAAAAAAAATATCCACCAACAATGGTAACAAAAAAATATTCCTCCCCAACTTGCACCTTCTCTAGTTCCTCCTCCTAAGTCCTAACTTATTTTCCAATCATCTCTCTCTCTTCTTTCTCGCTCCACCATTATCTATCTTTTCCCCATATCAACTACCTCCTCTCAAATCCTCCTTCCTTCTCTTTAAAACACGGAGTAGTTAATTACTTGACTTATGGTATTAGCTTTGAAAAGAAAAGTTCTATTTGAAACCACATTGGCATAAATAAAATCGACAACGATCAAAATCACGAAAAAAGAGATCTACAGTAAGAAACTATGTCTATGTTCTTTGGTGGTTCTCATAATTATTACGTTTATCATGGCATTATTTCAGGGGGGGGGGGGGGTTGGGGTGGGGGGGAGCCAATAAGATAGAAAAAGAAGGGGATGCTCTAGAACTTAGTACCAAATGTAGGAAATAGAAAGCCTGCCGAGTCACCATGACTCCACAGTCCTAGGAAATTTCAAATAACAAATGCGCTAAGTACACCTGATTTTAGCCAATCGATATCCCATTTCTTATTCTTCTAATTCTTGATTAGACAACTTCTTCCCTACACTTGCAATATCCAAATTAGATATCTCTTTTGCTACCCCTAAGGAAAAGAAAAAGGAGAGGCAAAAAGGCATAAACCTGCCCTAAAGACTATAAAAAAAAAAAACATCAGAGCCCCACAATGTTCATATTCTTTTTTTTTTGAGACAAAGAATTAACACGCTGGTTTTAGAGAGAGAGTAAATCCATAACCCCACCATAACACGTAGGCGTGGACTCCAGAGAGAAGTTCATATAACGAATTAACTAAGAAACTACTATTGCACTCCCAATTGCACTCCCAATTTCAGCACATATTTTCTATGTTCCTTTTAACTCTGAAACACTTGTCTTTATGCACTTCCTTTAATTAAAAAGTACCACTATGGCTACCTTTACAAGCACATATATCTACTAGGCCAAAACTTTGTTCATTGTAAAGCAAGGGCATATTTATAGGAAAGAGAGGCATCCAGCCATACCCCAAGTATGCAAAAATGAACACGGAAAGCTATAAAATGTTTCCTCAATCATCAAATAAAGGATTACTTATGATTTTGAAGGGTTTGCGATAAATACAACAAAGCTTATTTGGTAACCCCACCCCACCCACACAAAAAAGGCTTGTTGTTCTCTCTCTCTCTCTCTCTCTCATCACGAGGACACTTTCTCCCTTCCCTCTCCCCAGCTCATGGGTCTTTTATATATTCATGTCATACGAGAGAAATGATTGGTGTAGAAAAACGATATATATGGTGTGTACTAGCATAAGTTGATATGAAACACTAAAATTGCAACTTTTGCACCTCGCAAAAGAATGATAGGGCATTAAATACAAGTGACATGAGAAACTCTAAAATTCAAGCCACACGAAGCAAGATTGGCAACTCACAGCTAAGAAGAATTCTTTTTCTAGACAAAAATTGTCACTTTATCAGTCTCCTTCAAGAAACCCAAATTTAAATAATCTAATTCTAAATACCATGATTGATAAAGAAATTAGCACAATCTTAATCTTAAGATTCACATCCAGCTATTTCATGAAAGGAGCATTGTCCACTTTACACTATCATTTATTCTTGCCCTACTTCCTTCAGCCCCTTGGTTCTAACCACATAAGTGAAGAACAAGTGAACAACCTAAGGAAAAGATAATCTATCAATCTGATTCACAGGATGCAAATGAGAATTTGATAAAGGTTAACACTTAATAGTGTAAATATTAGACTACAAAACAATATGATTTACACAGAAAGGCTATTTTGATCACAAAACTGCAGCATACTGATCAAACTGGGCTTATGTATTGCTACGACTAGTCGACTACCAACAACACAAATGGAATATTTGAGCCGGATTTATAGAGAATATTCCCCATTTTACCAACACTGGCTCAACTTAAGAGCCACTTACACAGTTACACTTAGTAAACATACTCAAGTCAGAAAGATGTATAACTGAGTACCACTAACCCTCTTCCCTCAAGGCCTCAAATACACAAGTGAGAAAAAAAACTCAAAGAGTTTCATTTTTATATTCCAAATCGTCCTTTCATATTAGACTGCTAGGACCATTGCTATCAAGAACCAGACCAAAACAGCAACAAATTCATAGAAGCCTTTTAACAAAACACACATATGCACTGAAATTCTACATTGGTTTTCCAAATAATAATAATAATTATAATAATAAATAAATTAAAAAAAAAAATTACTCAGTATATAAAATGAAGAAAGAAAAAAGAAATAAAATAAAAAAAAAACTTAGTAATGGACCAAAAACACATTATTACAGCAATGCTGCAAGGGAAGCTCCCTATGAAGATTTAGATACAGTATTTGAAGGAGAGACTGATGGTAAACACCTAAACATCTTTTAAGCACTGTCTAAGAATGATTCTTGCAAAGACTTTTCAATTGTTTGATTTTCCAGAAGAAGAAAAGAAAATACTTCATCTCAGACATAGGTCCCTCTACATAGACTTTGACATTTATCATAGAAATCAATTTACAAACATACCTGTTTTGCCAAACTACAAGCCTTTTCTGCTGAATTAAGTATCTCAAAGTAGAACACAGAGAAATTCAGTGCCAACCCCAATCTGATAGGGTGTGTTGGAGCAAGATCAGCCAGAGCAATATCCTATACATAAATGACAAAAAAGCAAACAAAGAACAATGAGAGTTAGATACATAAAATGGTGATTGGTAAAATCCTTAACAAGTTACTTTAAATCATAAACAACTTTTTTTGTCAGAACTAGGAACAATGAGAGTTATATAATAATTAAAAACCATAATATCTCTTGGCTATTGTGTTTCACCTCCAGTACCAATTGTGGCACTGCCTAAATTTTCAACACATTATTTGGATCAAACCAAGCAAATTTTTTTAATTAACATATCCATATATCCGTGCCCAATGTTAGTAGTCAGTTGTGTGTGTGTGTGACTGTGACTATTAGTAACACAGAAAACCATCCAAGATTCTCAATTTGTTTATATAAATGGCTGCAAATAACCTATTGAACAATAAATATTCCAACCTTCCCTAAATATATCACACTCGACTTTAGTGGCCACATTATATCAGCTTTGACTTTTTTTTTTCAAATACACAATTGTAAAATTACTGTTTATAATTATAACAAAATGAAATTCTGTCTAAAGATAATAATGGACTACCTTATTATTATCCATATCACAACTCTAACTGTGTGGCCAAACCGCCAAAGTTAGAGCTCTGACCAGCAGGGTCGAATGTGGCATATCTTTCAAAAAGCACAGTATTTAGTGCCCAAAAAAGGGTTCCTTGACTCCATTATCATTGAAACATTGGATTACAAGTAAAACATAGAGACATACTCCGTAATAATTTACATCACTCAGATTATTGTTTAAAAATGTTATTCTCATGCTTTCTCCTAATATTACAAATTCCACTAACTAATCAAAGTTGTACTAAGGGGTAAGGAGAGAGCATTTGTTATAGTTGAAGACTTGAAGGAAATGGAAAGGAATGAAATGAGTGAGGGATAGATAAAAAGGCCAGTACTTATATGCTACATGAATAGTTGGGCATTAGAATAAGAGATGAGAGAAAATGATGTGAGTAACATAATGTGTTATCCAATATTGGGGAGGGTAACAGATGAGTGGAATCAATCAATTACACTCAAGTAAAGGAAATTGTAACTTATAATGTAAACACTTTAGTGGTCCCATTTCCAGCCATAAACTCCATCACACCAAACATGCTCTAAGAATATAACATATGTGATGCAAAGGCCACACCAATGGGAGACAAACTGCAGCCAAAAGCAACTCGATATCACGTGGGGGTAGATAAAGGGGCTAAACTTCGTAATTTTATAAAACATATACAGGTCTCAGACTCTCAGTTGGTGCCAGGCGGAAAAAAGTAGTGATGAGTCTGATGACCATTATTTATATGAAATTATGAATAGTTGGGTATTACAAATTTACAATGGAATGGAATAGGAGTAGGGGGGAAACTGAAGTGAATAACATAATGTTATCCAATATTGGAAACGGTAACAGATGAGTGGAATCAATTACCCCCAATTAAAGGAAGTTGTCACTATACCATCAAATAACCTATAACGCAGATACATTGGTGGTCCCATTTCCAACCACAAAATCCATCATACCAAACAGGCTTCAAGAATATAACATAAGTGATGCAGAAGCCACACAAATGAGAGACAAACTACACCCAAAAGCAACTCGATATTTTGTGGGGGAAGATTGAGGGGCTAAAGTTCGTAACTTTGTACGACATATACAGGTTTAGTTTGGCATCAGACCAAAAAGAACATGACATAATGACCTATGGCGGCGATATACACTTGTGCATATTACTATGGTAGTGGAAACCTGGAAAAGAGTAGCAATCCGTTCTCCAAATTAAACATGGTGATCCTATCAACAAACTGAACAAGAGGACTTTCGATCCAATCTCATAAATGAATCTAATAAAACACCAAACCATATCAGTAAATCAACTCACTAAATTTACTCAATTCACTTCAATCAATTACCACAACATCAACAAAAGGTTCAAGAACAACACTCTAATTAACCGCGATTTAATAATTATCCACCAAATTTTACAAAATTAACATTAACAAAACCTAATTAAATTACACTTCATAAATAATCCTCAAAAAACCCCAATTTTTTTACTCAAATACCTAAAATTCACAATTGCAATTAAAACTAACAAAATCCAACAATTAACAAATCAAATTCAAAATTAAGAGCAATTAAGAAGTAAACCTGAGCAGCCTTATAAGCAACCATAGTTTCTTCAGCAGCTTTCTTCCTTTCATCACCCGACAAAAACTCAGCCAAATAGCGATGATAATCACCCTTCATCTTCAAATAAAACACCTTAGATTCCGTCGCAGTAGCCGACGGAATCAGATAATTATCCAACAACTTAAAAATCGAAGCGCAAACATCGGACAACTCCGATTCAACTTTACAACGATAAGATTTAACAAGAGGAACATGATCATCATTCCGACGACTCTCCTCCTTCTGCTCAATCGACGACACGATTCTCCAAGCAGCGCGAAGAGATCCGATGACGTTTTTGTAAGCGACGGAAAGAAGGTTACGTTCTTCGACGGTGAGTTCGACGTCGGCGGAGGAGGTGACGAGATTGTCCATAAAAGTGACCATTTCTTCGTAACGTTCGGCTTGTTCGGCGAGTTTGGCGAGGTAGAGGGATTGATCGCGGGTTAGGGATTGAGGAGGGGGAGGAGTTGGAGTGGCCGCCATTGATGAGAGCTTGAGTGAGAGTGAAGGAGGAGAGAGAAAGTGGAGTGATGATGTGAGAAAAGTTGGGGTTTTTTTTTGTGAAGTTGAGGAGGAGGTTTTATAGGATAAGAATGAAATGGGAGTGCGAGTATGATGACCAGAGTGGATGGGTTGGGGTGTGGGACCGGTGTTTGTTTGCCTTTTACGTGGATAATTGGTGAGGGATTTTTTTAGTGTTTTGACTTACTCTCGTTTGATTTTGCGTCGACTTACTCTCTATTGGATACTATTTGGACATGACGTTGAATTACTAAAAAAAAAAAAATGTAACTGAATGGAACTTATTGGAGCTGAAATGAAATGAATATTTTATGAAAAAAGAAAATTAAAAACTGAACTAAATATAATCTGAATAGGTCATGCCCTTAGTACACTTAGTTGAATTGAATTGAGCAAAACTGAATTGTTTATGAGAGAAGTAAATTAGGAAATGAACCGAACTAAATTGTCCGTAATACATACTTACTTGTATATATTAGGATGAAAGTCAACAATTGAAAAACTAGGTCGGATAAAAGGAGCACTAAGAGCTTTATAATATACTCCCCCCGTTTTTAAATACTTGCTCCATTTCTCTATGCGCGGAGTTTTAGGATAAATTGGAGAAAGTAATAAAATATGGAGGTAGTGGGTGGTTGAGAAAATAAAAAATTGTAAAAAACAAAAGTAGTGGAATAATAGGAGGAGAGAGAATTATGTTAGGTCCACCAAGTGTGAGAAATGAATTAAATATTGTAAAAGATTTCCAAAAAAGGAAATGAAGCAAGTATTTAAAAACGAACGGAAAAGGAAAGTTGAGCAAGTATTTAAAAACGGAGGGAGTTGCTCCGTTTTTAAATACTTGCTCCATTTCTATTTTTTGCACTATTCATTTGTCTTACTTTAACTAATATTTGTGATTTATACCTTGTGGGTACTTGTTGTAATCATCTCAATAAATAGATTATTAATTTTCAATTGTTAGAATTTATACTTATTGATAATTAAATATATTAATGATCAAAGTTTAGCATCGGCATGTGTGTCCAAAAGAAATGGAGCAAGTATTTAATAACGGAAGGAGTACAATGCAATAACATTAGTGAAGACCATGTAACGTGATTTGGGACTCAAATTACCCAAGATTAAACACCGGACTTATTGATTTTATGAGTACACTTCTCATGTTGGTTCTTATAATGAATCAATGACGATCTTGGAGCAGCATGTAACGGAGGATCTTCAAATTCTTTCTGGAGGACTGAAAATCCTTTCTTAGGAAGAACTTGCAATTTTTTCTCTAGACTCGAAATGGGAGCAGGTTTGAAAAAGGTTTAATTAGTGAAGTTGGTATAATATTTTATGCCCCTAAAAAAGCGAGCAACAGATTGAAAGCAGGAGAGAATGAGAGATGTACACTGTCTGAACAGTGCGTGAAACGGCAAAGAAAAGAGTGAGGTGGGCAAAGATAAGTATAAAATGAGCTGGCAAAAAGAAACTCAGGAGATTCTTTCCCCGTATACTGATTCCATCAGTCGGCTACCTAAACTACACTTTTTTTTTTTTTTTTTAAATTTTTTTTATTTCCACTGCGCCGCCCACTTTTTGGGCCTTACCGAATAGCCCAAACTATAACTGGGCCTTTTGGACCTAATTAACCTAAGCCCAATTCAATACTCACTTAATCAGCCCTATAAATTAGCAGCTCCTCAAGTATCAGTTAATCACTTCACTCAAACAACAACATTCATTCAATCGAAATTGATAATAAACCCCAAAAATAAAACCCTAATTTTTCAAATTTTGCTTAATTTTCTGGAGTTTTGAAGAAGGAAGAAGAAAATGGCGCTCTGTACTAGCGGCGCTCTTTCAACTTCACCGCTTCCACTTTCATCTTCTCGTCGCTTCTTACCTAACACTTCTCATTTACGCTTTTCTATCCAGAAGCTTTCCGATTTCTCAGGTTTCTCATTTGATATTTTTTTCACGCTTGCTTTTGTTTTATGCTGATTCTTCATATCTAAATTTGTTGCCGAATTTTATGGTAATTATGAGCTAATTCTACGAATTTTTTATCCTATATTTATTTCCGGCGTTTTGGTTTTGATTATCATGCAGTTTCTAAATGTGTCATTTATCATAAATAATCCTGCTATTAAAATAAGATTACTGGAAGATATCTAATAAAAAATAATGTTTGTGGGCGGTGTTGTTAGATTCGTCTCCGTGTATTATCAAAATATTAATAAATGATACTGTCGGTCGAAGATCAGCATTGTTAACTGTAATAAATCATATGCTGCAATGGTGAAGAGACTCAGAGATTAGTAATTTGAAGGTTTCAAATGTTTGAAGGTGTTACTTAATATTTCATAAGATATGGTTCGATTCGTTTTGATGTGTAGTAGCAAAATATTAATTAGAGATATTGTTGCTTAAAATTGTGCATTGAAAATATTTGTAAATGCAAATGTGACAATGTTTTAAAATTTGAGGGAGTATTAATTTGATGATTTTAAATGTATGACATGTAGGAGGTGTTTCCTCTTATCCTGATACAAGAAGAAGCAGATTGTTGTTGAGAGCAAGCTCAGATGATACAGGTAGTAATTTTACAGAAAAGAAAAGTGATGGAGCATTTGCAACGATTGAAGATGACTCTCCACCATCAACATTTGTTGACAATGATATAACACTTGGTAATGCTTCGCCCGTGAGTGTCAATGACGAGGTTGAATTTTTTTCAGATGATGATGATACTTTGCAGCCGGTTAAGGAGCTTTTTAATAAGCTCGACATTGATGTATGTCTTCTTTCTTTCTAGATAAATTTGGCAAAAGGTGCAATCTAAGTATTTGTTTGGTTTAACCAAAAAAAAAAATTTGGGGAAGTTGATAATCATGAGAATTACAATTGTGGATGGTCATTTGATTAGCATGAAATAGAAGATTGGAGGAAATTAAAATTCTTAGGAAATTCGATTTTCTATAAAACATGGGAATTTAGTTACCTAATCCCCTTTGTCAATTGAATTCATGGGTATTGAAATTTTTTGTGTGAATTGAATAAGTCCGGGCCATTTTGCAGGACACGCATAAGGGAAATTTTCCCCTTGTTTTTCCTAGGAAATGGCCATGACTTGGTTAGTTGGCACCAAAGGAGTTTTCGATTCCCATGAATTTCTATTGAACGAGGGGGCTAGATAACTAAATTCTCATGTTTTGTGGGAAGTTGAATTTCCTAGGAATTTTTAATTCTTCCGTTTCTTCTTTTCAGTGCTAACCAAACAACGACACAAAATTGTAATTCCCATGAATTTTAGCTTCCTCCATTTTTTTGGGTTGACCAACTAGCACATAGACTCAAATGTTGATTTGTTCTGAAAGTTATTCTTTGGGGTAATCTACTGATTTTCTCTGGAAAGCCTTGAATTATTGTGCCTTTTTTGGATATTTTATCATACTTCTTCATTAGAATTGAGCAGTCCTAATGTACTATAAATTTTATAGGCCTAAGAAGAATGGATGACCACTTGGAATATTTGTAATTTATGACTTGAAGTCTTGAATTAGTGAAAGTAATTTGTTTTTTGCTTGCATTTCCATTAAACTCGAATTTCCTGTATAAGTTTTCTAGGGTATCAACACTTGGGTCTAGAAAGTTTTTGTACTGTTTTACAGTACATATTATTTACATGCTGTCATGATGAGATTCATTATATTAATGAAAGCAGCAATGCTTGATGTTTGGTTGACAATCATGTCAATCCTGAGCGGTTACCTGAGCAGCTTGAATTTAATACCCCCCCTCACTCTCTCTCTCTCTCTCTCTCTCTCTCTCTCTCTCTCTCTCTCTCTCTCTCTCTCTCTCTCTCTTTTATGCAGTTTGAGCCTTTGTACTTTAATGTTCCTGAAAATGTCCTTTTTTTCAAGTCCATACTCTGAGAATAATGTATGAGTATACACTTATAATTCGGGTAAATAAAATCTGTTAGCTCTTTGATTGAATTTCAATGAATTAGTTTTTTGCGTAAAAGGAATATTGGTAAAAGAAAAAAAAGGTTTAATTTGGAATTTTTTATTTTACATGTTGCAATGATGAGAATTCATTGGAATTAAGGAAAGCAGCAATGCTTAATGTCTGGTTGACAATAATGTCAATCCTGAGCGGTTACCTGAGCAGTATAAAGACACTTTATTCTTAACGTTTATGCTTTTTTTTTTTTTTTGGCCAAAATCTTAAATTGTAATGTATTCTTTTAGTCTGCACTTACTAGATTAATGCATGAGCAATTAGTATCACTTGCATATTTGGGTCATTTTAGGATTTTTAACTTTGTGGCCTCAGCATCAAGTAAAAGCATTGCTAAAACCATAGCAAGAGCACACTATATGTTTCATGGCATATGCGGTGAATAATATGCTTCTTGGAGCCAATGGTGTTTCACAAGTCACAAGGCAGAGCAAGATTTGTTTGGGTTGTTTATGAAAATCACTAAAATGAAGCTATTTTGCTTACTGTTGAGTCAAAATAGAATTCATGTGATTTTATATGTTTTAAATGCTGCCATGATGAGAATCATTGATATTTAAGAAAGCAGCAATGCTTAATGTTCGGTTGACAACCATGTCAAACCTGAGCGGTTACCTGAGCAGCGTAAACTTTGATACTTTGTTTTTTTTTGTTATTCAGTAACCCCCCTCTTCCCCCCCCCCCCCTTCTTTTTTCCTGTATGTGTTTCCTGAAAACTTTAAGTATTCTTCAATTCTCTTTTACCGAGACTAAGCATGATTTGAACAAGTGAAATCAGTTGGCCCGCCACACTTTATGTTTTTGGTGTGAAAACTATTTTGATGAGAAGTTAATTTTGATTTTACATGGTTTACATGCTGCCATGATGAGATTTATTGAAATCCAAGAAAGCAGCAATGCTTAATGTTCGGTTGATATGCATGTCAATCCTGAGCGGTTACCTGAGCAGCATATACATGATAAATTAAATTAACATATTTCCGTCTGCAATTATTTCTGAAAATGTATTCCCTACTTCTGATAATAATGCATTACCTTGCCTTTTGCATTAATTTTCTGAAAATGTATTCCCTACTTCTGATAATAATGCATTACCTTGCCTTTTGCATTAATTATTAACTACTGGTTAAATATGGCTAATTATTTAAAATTAGAACCCTATATACCCAATTCATTAGTAATGATACATGCAGTAGTCAACAAAGGTCTTGTTAGAAGCGTTTCTGTAGTGTCAAACTAGTACATTGGAGATTGTGAATGATTGATACAACTATTTTGAAACGGAGGAGGTAACACTGATCAATCTGTGATATGTCATACATGTATCTTCCTATGATCTTAGGAATTTTTTTAATAACATATCCATGGAAACAACACTGAAATGATTATTTTGATTGATGCATGATTTTGTCATGCATTCCTAAGTTTTAAAACTTAGTACCATTTAGTAATAATATAACCATGAAAACAGTAGCAAAAAAGTGTAGCAAGAACACTCAATATGTTTTACTGAATCATAATGATGTCCCGGGACCTTGTAATAAACTTTGTGAGCAAATCCATAAAGTTTTAGCATGCTTTGCTGTCTTGTTTGAGTTATTTCTGATAACCACTAAATTGATGCTATTCTGCTTGCAGTTGGATGTTGAAGACTCGCCGACAATTCTCCTGTATGGTGGTGGTGCCGTTGTTGCTTTGTGGTTGCTTTCAGCCATTGTTGGTGCGATTGATTCTATTCCAGTGGTATGTTCCTTAAGCTAGAGGAAAAATTCAATTAATATTTAACATTTACTTCTTATTTATTACTTGTCCTTTTAACAAGTTGTATAATTACTTGAACAGCTCCCAAAATTGCTGGAAGTTGTGGGTCTAGGCTACTCAGTTTGGTTCACCACACGTTATTTGCTATTTAAGGTAGTGCTTTACTAGAACTTCATTTCATAGTTAGCCAATAAACTTGGCAATAGTTCCAAATTTTATTTTGTTATAAAGAACTTGGCTGACGCTTTTGTTGTTCATTCTGTTTTCCAGAAAAATAGAGAAGAACTTGGATCCAAGATTGAAGAGCTGAAACAAGAAATATTGGGCACGAGCGATAAATAATGACATTTGGACTTTAGCTTATGCGAAATTACTGTAGAGTGAGAGCTTGTTCTTTATACGAGAAGTTTTTTGCTTAGACAATATACTGTGAATAAGTAGGGTAAATTAGAGTTATGCATGTATCGTTTGATCATACGTGAAATGAAGGTTTGCTTAGCTGTATAACTGTATTCGTATTCTGCTCTGTTTATTTGGCCGTGTTTTTTTTTTTTTTTTTTTCTGTTCCTGTTAAAGTTATTTTCCTTGAATAGACTATTAAATTCGGCAAGGAGTAAGAATGGTACTCCGATTTAGGTTTATCGAGAGACCATGACTATATTGTTATTGCGCCAAAGCTGATGGCTCTTGTAAATGCCAGGAATGTATTGCTGGTATAGATCTCATGTCTTGCGAGTAAAATACAAGGAATTTTTGGACTAATGACTCTTAATAAGGGTATAATTGTCCATTCACTTTTACTACACTTCAAAAAAAATTTGTCATAACACATGTTCATATTTTTTTATAGTTTAGATAGCGTCACCAATGAACGTAAAAATATTTTGTTGGTATCGATATGATTTGTTGTTGGTATCATGTGAAATTTTAACGTGTGCTGATTGCCACAGTAAATATCAATTTGTAAGATCTCTTAAAATCGAGAGGGAAACACGGACCGGTTGAGATATCTCTTACTCGCACAAACACTGAGTAGTTATGTGTACATAATGCCGCTTAAAACACAGCAAGAAATGAGTGAAGTTGGATAAAGAAATGGAGACAAGAAAGAACAAACGACAAGTGAAGAATGAATCTAAATTCAGTCAAAAGGCATAAACTTTTTTCTTTATTGTTTAGTTGGAAAAAAAAAATGAAGAAAAGGGCCCACCTCTCAAATAATTGTGACGACCCCACAATAGACTTGAATCCCGCCAAACGGTCTCCCCGCAAATCCGCTCCTCAGAAGAACCGTTAAAAGTTGCGCGGTTTTTACCTTTTTATGTCATCATCTACTCATCCCACTTTTTCTCATTTTCCCACTTTTTTTTTTTTTTTTTTGCGCTTTTTCTTTTTTTCTGTTTTTTGGTAGCATGAAGGATTATTCTTCATGATAAGTATGATCAAACGATGCATGCATAACTCTAATTTGGTAATGCTTAATGCATGTTCATAGTTTCGTTATGTAATTTCCTAATGTTTAATGCATGTTCATAGTCCTCTGTGTCTGAATGACATTATGCCCATCCGTATGAAATTAACGAACACATTGTTTATATGCTTTAATTTTTTCGGTTTTTATAAAGGTGTATTAAAACTTAAATCACTTATTAAAAAAATAAAAATTTAACTGCATATAATCTTGACCTTCATAGTATTTAAATCTAAATTTTGAATATACTAGGGAGAAGGTAAGATATCCTCATTTACACAAACAAAGAGTTGAAAATTTAGAATTAGTTACCTCAAGGTTGCAAATTTAAACCCAAACACAACCATGTTGATCGTCATATTCGTCAAGGGAATTATCAAATTTTTTAGGTTTCTTCATGACTAAAGTGGAAGTAAAAAATAAAAATTAAATAAATAACCACAGTAAATATTACCAAAAAAAATTTAATCCATGGTATAGTAAGAGACATCAAATCACAAAAATATACTAATTACACCGATTTACGCGTGTTTTTGTCATGAATTCCTAACTTTATACATTTTTCAAGAGTAAATTTAATGCTTAAGTATAGTCCTAAGGGCTATGTATAGCATTACCCTTTTTTTTTAGTTCCTACAACATTTGTGTCAAATGACTATAATACCCATAATACTTGTACATCTTTTTGTTGCCTGTTTAGCAAGTGGAAAAACACAAAAAAAATCAAGAATCAACCCTCGTAATAGATCCAAAAGAGAGTATATTTATTTACTCCTATAGCTGATGACAGCACATGATCAATGTCTTGTTTCTGTAATCCACCACTTTTTTTCTTTTCTTTTTCATTTTGGGTTAGAAAAAGTGACCCTTTTCCACCTCTCTACCCTTTCCTTTTTTATATTTTTTTTTTGTTTCTTTTTCTTATCAATTCCTTAAACTTTTATTTTTTACATGTGCAAAGTCTAATTAATTAACTCCATATCTCATAAAATTGGAATAAAACTAACATAGAAATAAATTAAATCATTTTTGATTATAGAAATCTTAATTAGAATATATCATTAACGTGTGTAATATTCCTTTATGTACTTAAGACCACTCTCTCTTTTTTTCCTACCAAAAAAATAATTAAAATCACTATTTTAAAGCAACTTCCTTGACTCCTAGGTAAGCCGTTTCAGTGACTTCATTCACACAATCACTCCCATTTTCTCCCTCATTTTTCTCGAATTCTTTTTGGGATTCTTGCTTACAATTGCATTGAACGATAATTTTGAGGTAAGCATTTTTATACTAAGTATTTTTTATTAATTTTTTCTATTATTGGATTAGAGATTGTTAAATTTGCAATCTTGGGGTTTTTGTTGAAATTTTGACATGGGTTTTGTTAGAATTGTGTGAATTTCATGAAATAGGTGTTTGATTTCAAGTCAATTTTACATGGGGGGATTTAAGAATGATGGTCTAAAATGGGTTACTAAGGTAAAAGATCATGCAACCCATGCTTTATGATTATATATGATTAATTTTGTCATAAAGTATGAAATGATGATGGGGTTATAGTGTGATTTTTATGAAATTATGTGAATTTTGAATCAGGAAACTGAATTCAGAAAAATGAATTTTAGGCCTGTAGGGTCAGTATCGAATGCTAAACCAGTGACTGTGAGTAGCAGAAATGGGTATGGATCAGATATGGATTTGGAAAGTGATTCAGATGAGGAGATTAATGGTGGAAATTACTCAGTCGAGTCGTCGTCGCCTGTAGATGACATTTTCAGTAATGGGGTTGAGCAGAAGCGTACTGGTTTTGTAGGTGATAAGGTCTGTTTAAGCTTGTTGCTAAATATGACTAATTGACTGCTAAATTCTGTGAAGTTTGATTCAACATTGGATTGCAGTGTGCTGTGACTTTAGCAGTTTCGAGCTCACGGGACTTGGGGCCGGGTGGGGGGGGGGGGGTTGGGAAACTTGAAATTTGATTCCTGTTTTTAAGTTTATCATCCCTTTCATATTTCACTGTTGGTTTTTACTTCAGAGGATTGCATATTGATGAGATGCTGAAACTATTCATTTCATTATCTATGAGCAGAAAACCGATCGATTTGCTCAAGAATATTCATCAAGACGTGATACTGCAAGTAAGTCAGACATTGTTAGAAATATCCACTCTGATGCATCAGCAATGCTTCCTAATAGAGAACCTTCGCACTCAACCTTAAAGTATGTGTTATGCCCTGAAGACTATGGTATTCTTTAAATGGGAGGATATGAACGCTGACTTATTCATTGTTCTCCTCTTACTTTTCAGGACTTCTGTTGATATGGATGAAGGAAGATCATCTGATTCTTCATCAGCCCGTGTACCTAACTTTCATGCTAGGTATGTCAGTGAATAGATAGTAGCAGCTGTATTTCATTGAGTAGAATATCTGCTTAGCTTCTTAAACATGACTGGATACATTATCCAATGAGTAACAGTATCAATGCTTTTAACACAGTGGTCTCAGCCCTTGGAATGGCGTGGTTTCCTATGATGCGTGTGTACGACTATGTCTCAGCTCATGGGCCAAGGGTAGTAAAGAAGCCAAATATTTCCTGAATAATGAATGTGCAACACTACGAGATGCATTCAGGTGTGTTCATCTTTGTACATGGCTTGTATTATGGTAGAGTTAGTTTTTTTGAAGCAGTCAGGGCCTCAGAGGGTATTTTTCAACTAGGACTAGTGCTCATATCCCCATAAAGTGCAGTGTTGTGTAGGGTACAGGTAAGCTAAATTATGAAAGCATGCTCTTCATGGTGAAATATGTTATAGAAATTAAGCATTGTTTTACAATATGCCTACAAGATGCTCCTGTAATCCTATATGTCATAGATTGGTTTGGCTTTATAATGTGCTAAATTTAGCCCTTGCTGGCTTCTTTGATGTGATATGAAATGCATTGTATTCATTCTTAAAGCTATAAACTGATAACATAAAGTCGTCCTCTCTTCCCCCACTGACATACCAACTTTTATCTGGCTAGTTTGCGGCATGTACTTCTTCAGTCAGAGGAGGAGATAATGTCAAAAAGATCTTCTGAGCTAGTTAGTGGATCAGCTGCTACTAAACCAAAGAAAACAATAGGAAAAATCAAAGTTCAAGGTATATATGGATTATTGGTAGTGTAGTACTTAATGATTCTATCTCTTTGTCTTATTGGTAGCATGAAGCTATTTACCTTGTGCAGTGAGAAAGGTGAAGATGGGTTTAAATCCACCTACCGGCTGTGCTTTTCCACAGATGCAAAAGATGGACCTTGAGAAAATTCAAAGTCATGTCTCAAATGTAAAATCAAAACTAGCGATGAAATGGGAAGCTGTACAAAGAGTACAAGCAGCACGTCATATACCAAAAAATGGTTCTCTTTCAAGCAAGAGTTTGGCATATGTGAATGTTGGCGCTCAATATATGAAGGAGATTGGTGTTCTTTTAAAGAGTAGCTTGGCTTCTTCCCAGACCACAGAATCCCAAGTTGTGCAAGGTATTTTTGTTTCAGTTTTGAAATTTTTGCATGCAATAGCTGAATGTATGGTCTTCCTCCTAGCAATTGGTCAATTGCTAAAAGATAATTGTCTTATTTATTGTGGATTTTATCCCAATAATGGTGTGTTTTCTTCTTTAACTTATTCTTTTCTGACTTTCTCCTAGGCTCCTAGCCAAGGAATTTAAATTTGCTTATCCTCTTTGATCTTTCATGTATACGAAAAACTTGATGTGTTGCACAAGGAAATGATTAAATAAGAATTGTATATAATTTAATGTTCTTACGACTTTAAATAGTAAACAAAACAAGGATAGGTAAGAGGATCACACGTCAGAACTCAGAACGAATGTGTTGGGGGGGGGGGGGTGATGAAAGTGATGAAGACTCTAATGCTCACCGTTTTTACCTATTGTTATTTTTTGTTTTTTTATCTAGAGTCTTTCCATTGATACATGTAGTTATGATCTGTTTTCCAAAGATTTATGGACTGTCATTGAAATTCTAATTTTTTTAATGTGCACACATATCAAGTACATTTGTAGTTTTTAGATAATATGAAATGAGAAATTTGGTTATGTCAGGACCTCAAAATTCAATATTTTGCGTGTTTTATTTACAGTTTCTCAATCTCTATGGCATTAGGTACTTATAATCGTTGTAAAAGTTATTCTTATAATGATAGTTTTTTATGAAATGTATTTTTATATTTTCAATTTATGCATATCACTCTTAGGATTAATTTTAATAATTAGAGTATGGCCTCCAACATATTTTGGACACCCTTGGTCATTTGAATAACTTACTACAGTTTGGGAATATTGGGATTTATTGGTTAATATGGCATTATTGTGTTTATTTTAACCAATTCACCAAATTTAATTTGACAATCTAATCTTTATATAATTTGATGGTCAATAAAAAAAATGTAGTTGAACTATCCGGAATCTATGAGACTTGTCAGCTTTAACAGGATTTGGCCAATGTCAAGAACTTGTATTTTTAGTCTTGTTATTAAATTCCTCTGCACCAGTGCAACTATCTAGATGTAAGGATACTTCTGTGCAGTTAGCATGAATTTCAGGCTTCATCCTCAAAATTTATCATCTTACGTGCTTGGTATGAATTTGAAGTGTGAATGTGTTTACAATTTCTTATATTTATGAAATTTATCTTACTATCAAATTTTAGGTTTCTTTCTCTGCTGCGCTTAATTATTGTGTTTATTACTGAGAAGTTTCAGAAGTATAAACTTAATTCATTTGGTGATTGGCAGAAACCTACTATTGTTTAGTAAGACTGAAAAGCTCTTCTGAAAAAGATGCAGTGCGGATGCAGCCGGGCTCTGGTGAAACTCATATTTTGTATGTATACTTATTTGCTAGCTCAACTCTTCTTTGCATGCAAAAATATTCTGATTCTATTGAAACTGTTGACACAGCTTTCCAGATAGTCTTAGTGATGATCTGAATATCATAGTTCTGGACTCAAGAGGCAATCATTGTGGGTGTGTTTTGGCTCAAGTCGCATCAGTCGTGGATGCCACTGTAAGCATCTCTCTCTCTCTCTCTCTCTCTATATATATATATAATATATATATATATATATATATCAGTTATTTGCAACGAAAGGGACATGCGCGGACTCCTAGGCGAAAGTTTTAAAACATGATTATTGAAATATAAGGGTAGTACTTAAGTATTAATCTAATTTTTAAAAAACCACAATTAACCAAAATCAATAAACCACCAAACTCAGAACCCAGATTCACCACCACCACTGAAACCCAGAACCCACCAAAAACCACCACCACCGAAACCCAGAACCCGCCGAAAACCACCACCACCGACACCCAAAACCCACCGAAAACCACCACCAACAAACCTACTGAAACCACCACCACCGAATACCACCAACACCCAGAAAACCACCATCAAAACCCATTGAAAACCACCAAAATCCACTAAATACCACCACTGAAAACCACCACTATAACCTATCGAAAACAACCACCAAACCCACTAAAAACAACCACCAAAACCACGAAATCCCCAATCAAACCACCCCCTTCCCCCCACGAATTGAATTAATCCCAACCACCACCACCACGAATTGAATTAATCCCAACTACCACCATAAAACCCAACACCACCTAGACCACCCACAACACCTACGAAACCTTGAACACCACCTAGACCCCCGACACTTAGATCCACCCACGAAACCCACAAAATCTTGACCACCATATCCACGATACTCGTGCCGCACAAAACCACCTCCAATTTTAGATCTCCATGGAAGATGGGGATGATGAAGGAGGAGAGAGATTTTGATGATGAAGGAGGAAAGAGAAATTTTGTTGATGAACCACGAAGGGGAGTGAGATTTTGATGAATATGATGATGAATGGGGAGTGAGAAATGTGATGAACTAGATGAATGTTGAGAGGTTTGGTTTTTTTTACAGATTTGATTTTTTTTCTTTAGAAGATTAGATGAGTTAAGTTAGGGTTATAATAGAGTATAGTTAGTGAAATAATTAAATGAGTAAGTTGGTTAAGTGAGGGCAGTTTGGTCATTTCAAACAAAAAAACTTACCAAAAGAGGAAAAAATCAGTTTGTTGCACATAATATATAGCACCTGTTTTTGGCAAATGTTGCAAATAACCGTTAACGGAGGTAGTATATATATCTATATATCATGAGCCTCCTTAAATATTTATTGACGCATATCATATGAAATGGATGTTGCAGAATGACAAGAGCCGCTGGTGGCCTATATATCATGAGCCTGATCATGAACCTATTGGCAAAGTACAGTTATACATCAATTACTCAACAAGTCAGGATGATAATAGCCATCTGAAGGTATTCTGGTTCTTTTTCTATCAATTTAAGCCCCTCTGTCTTTTTCCAGAATTCAATTTTGTTTTACTCTTGAATATTTTCAACCCTTTGATTTCATGATAGTAGTGAGGGAGTCTAGTATATGTTTTTGCTTAGATATTTGTCTGTTAATCCTTGAGCGTAGTAGGTAATTAGGTATGTCAGTACCTATTACTCTTTTAATCAAAACTCTAAATGGCAACATTATAATAACTTGTTTAAGCTGAATATAATGCAGATGGTGAACTTTACGTTTGTTTTAGAATTCTGAGGAGACCTGCTTTGCTGAAAGCTGTGGCTAGTAATAATTATTGTCTCATAGTAATTATTATGCGAGTACAGTAATTTTAATTATATTTTCAACCATCTATCCCTTTTCTAAATTTTCCGGTATTGAATCTATTGAACAACTATTCAAGACTTGTGTCACTTAACAAAGATCATTATGGGCTATAGCCACGCTGTTGGCCTATGTTTTTCAAAAAGGGAAATTCTATCTAGTGGTTTTAGCCAATTGTCCTGTATGGAGCCAAATATTGGCCAATAAAGCGACCGTAAGCTTTTAAGATTATGGTGCAGAGCTGATTATACATTTTTAGACGTGCAAGAGATAAGATGAGGAATGAGGTGATAGGAGATAAGTTGGGGGTCAAATCTAGTGATAATAAGAATGTACGATGGAACAAAGTGCAAACAAGACTGACCGGGTTTTGGCATTATAGTAGAAGGCAGTTGCAGTGTTTTAATATCTAGGCGCACTGGGGTGATAGGTGTCCAACCCTAGGGTGATGAGCGTCCCAGAGCCTAGGTATGATGCCCTGTTATTTAAAAAAACTGCAAGAAAAAGATTTATTTGCACCTCCCTGTGCCTTGATGTAGTCTCTTGACCCCTAACGACTTGGGCTTTAGCACCTCAGGCACAGTACTTTGTTTATCGGGCACTTGAAAGCCTCGTTCAGAAAACATACGAAGATCTTATTAATGGATTGTAAGGAAATGCAAGGTAGATTAGATAGACTGTATTGTATTTCCCTCTTAATCCAAGGGAAAAATTAGCTATAGTCGTGTTTTTTTTCTCTTAATTGATGGGATGTTTTGTCTTTTAAAGTTATTGATGGATTAATGGACTTGGGAGACAAGGGAGGGTCCTCTTAATGGATAGAATGATGGATAGTGTTGTCTTGTAGAATTTCTAAGTTATTATGTACTTCCTCTGTTCTTTTTTACTTGACCTATTTCTTTTATCACACTTGTCAATGCAAAACTTTAACAATCAATAACTTTAATTATCCGCAAGTAAAAATTATAAAAGTTATAGAGTATGATAGTACTTATTGAGATGAATTCAAAAAGATCACACATGAATATGTTTTTCCTTACCTATTATTCATAAAAGACGGTCAAAAGAGAAGTGGTGAATAGTGTAAAAGTCAAAGCAGGTCAAGTAAAAAAGAACGGGAGAAGTACTACCAAAGTAGTACCTAGTCTTGCTGTTTCTTATGGAAGGCATATGTATAAATTTGAATCAGCAGCCGATCAGAATTTAAGATATTGCTCAAAATTAGGATGTCCTTTCATCTAGAGTTTTAAGAGATGGGCAGTTCTCTCTCTGTTTCTACTTCCCTATAGCCTCTTTTACTTTGCCTCGTATGGGTGTTTTATATGTTGGATGTTCATTAATACCCTTCTCATAAGCACCTATTTCTGCTGTAATATAGTGTGGCTATCATTTTTGTAGTTTAAGGGTAAGCCTGCATTGCATGCATATATCTGGAGCAATTTAGATCTCGTGTTGGCAGGATTTAATTTGGAGTGTTGTAATATAGTTATGTTATTAGACTTGTTTAATTGCATCAATTATTTCATAGAAAATTTTGGTTGTTCCTAGTGTGGTATTGTTGCAGAAACTGTTGCATACGATCTTGTGCTGGAGACTGCAATGAAAGCTCAAAATTTTCAGCAAAGGAACTTGTTACTGCATAATCAGTGGAAGTGGCTTGTGACTGAATTTGCGCGTTTCTATGGTGTGTCAGATGCCTATACTAAGTTGAGGTATGAGTTCTCATTCATTGTATGTTTCCATGCCTTTGTCTTGGATATTCTGCAGATCATCACAAAAAATTTTGTTATGCAGATATCTTTCATACGTTATGGATGTTGCTACACCAACTGCAGATTGTTTGCTTTTGATTTATGATTTGCTGTCTCCTGTGATTGTGAAAGACGACAATACTTTGAGTTCACAAGAGGTTAGTGTTTTTTTTTTTTTTCCTTGATAGAATCATCCTAAAATAGGTAATTATTTATGTATATGTTGATGCTCATGCTTGCTAAATATATGCCCTCTCAGATTAGGAGAATTGCTTGTTAGGGGATTACTTTAGTTTTATAAAATGGAAACTTTGTGAATCCAGTTAATTCCACATTTGTTTTCAAAACTCTTGAAGGTACTCTAAACTTTTAGCTTGTGTATCTTGAATGGACTATGACTCTTTGTTTAGAATTTAGAAAGCTGTAAAAATGTGAAGGATTTTTCACCAATAGGGGTTGTTTGGCTCACATGCTGCATCATGCTTCTGTTGCTATTTTAATATGCTAATTGTTACAAAAGATATTTGCAACTGATCCCTAATGTTTCAATTAATGATCAGAAACGAATCCTTGGAGTAATGTCTGATAAAGTTGAGGACCTTCTTGCTCTGGTTTTTCAAAACTACAAGTCGTTGGATGAAACATCACTCTCGGGGTTGGCTGCTGTTTTTTTGTCAGCAACTGGAAATGTCGCTCCTGCTATTGCTCCAGCTATTAAGCTTTATGGCCTTCAACATGATATGCTATCTCCTGAAATAAGATTAAAACTATGCAAATACTTTCAGGTGCTATAAATGGAATAATTTGTGTTGGTTTATGTAATTCTACTTTATTCCTTCTCAACAAAATTTATTGTCTAACATCGTAGGTTGCTGCAAAGAAAAGGTCAAGAAGACATTTAGGAGAAATGGATGAATTTATCTTCAGCAATGAGGGCGCCACAATGGACAATATGGCATCTACAACTGCGTATCAAAAGATGAAATCTCTTTGTCTGATTGTGAAAAATGAAATTCATACAGACATAGAGATCAATAATCAAAACATTCTTCCCAGGTATCACTACTTTCTTAAAGAAGGACCACCCAGGTGTCCTAGTTCAAGATTTCCTGAATACTTTTGATTTTCATAATTTATGCATCGATTGTGCTGTATCCCATCAGAACTTCGCAGCTAAGCGTGCTTGGGTGAGAGTAGTACTAGGATGGGTGACCTCCTGGGAAGTCCTCGTGTTGCACCCCTTATAAAAAATCTTGTTTCGTCCTTTTATCTTCATCCGACAGTTCCTTATGACGATGATTCATGTTAGCCAGCCCCAAATCATTTTGGGACTAAAGCTTTGTTGTTGTTGTTGTATGCATCAATTGTGCTGTATGCCTCTATGCCCAAATGAATTTCGTTTCAAAATCGTTTACTGGTTATTTTAGCTGTTTGTTTGGTGCAACTCCATTGATATAAACTTGATAATCATTCCAGGAAGTGATAATTCAATTTGCTTGATTTGCCTTCATTTTATGTCTTTCTTCTTTCTCTCACTGTCTCCTTATTGTGGCAGTTTCTTGGACCTTCCAAACCTCACTTCATCAATATACAGTGCTGAGCTGTCTGCCAGACTGCGCACCTTTCTTAAGGCATGCCCTCCTGCTGGGCCCTCGCCTCATGTTACAGATCTTGTTATAACAGTAGCTGACTTTGAAAGAGATCTTGCTCTGTGGAACATTAAGTAAGCCAGTCCTTTCTAGCTTCTGATGTTATGGACAAAACTTGCTTTGTCCCAAATCTGTTGTTAACACGCTTTTTTTCAGCTCTGTCAAAGGTGGAGTTAATGCAAAGGAGTTATTGGGCTCCTATATAAGCAACTGGATTAAGGAGAAGCATGTAACTTTACTTGATTTCTGCAAGACTAGCATGGTATGAACTTATCACCTTTACCTCCTAGTTCATTTTCTATTATACTGGATGTAGCTCTACTTACTAAATTTTTTGTCAACATTCATGAATATCTCTGAAAGTCTCCCTATTGATTGATTTTGGTGTAGTTGCAGGTGAAATGTTCTGATCACAAGGCTCAACAGCTGACATGTCCTTCCATTGATGAGATCTATGATCAGTTGAGGCAGACGTTGAATGAATATGAAATTATTGTTCGTCGTTGGCCAGAATATGCTGTTGTCTTGGAGAGTGTAAGTCCACCCCTGTAATCTTCTTCTCTTGGTGTGGAATTGACTGCACATGCAGCTCTGGAAATATGGAATTTTTCTCAAGTATAACAACAGCGAGAATCATAAAATATTAACGATATTTTATTTTTTGTAGTGATTAATTGGTTTACATCATTAACCTAAATGCCCACCCCCCCCCCCCCCACACACACACACAAGGTTCCACCATATTGGTGAGGCTGGTTTGGCAATTGGTACAATACTCGATAATGAATAGTCTCAGGAACCTATGTGACCATCTCCACCCAATTTACGCTCCTATTGGCTGCTTAATGAATAGCCTCTGGAATCTATGGGAAAATCCTTACCTAAGTCACGCTTCTATTGGCTGCCTAAAGAATAGCGCTATAGCCTAAGGAATCTGTGGGAAAATCTATACCTAGTTCATGCTTCTATTGGCTGCCTAATGCAGCCTCCCCTCCCCCTAGATTGGTTCAAGTGATAGAAATCCCTTTTTACTTCTTTAATATTACCAAGCATGTAGTATTTAGTGTAATTGCCTTCGAGCAATATCGCATCAAAAGTTTACTTGTGTCTTGTTTTGAAAAAAAATTCTTCGTCCATTTATATTGTTTTGCATGCAGGTGATGGCAGATGTTCAAAATGCAGTAGTGGAGGCCCTGGAGAAACAATATGCTGATGTTTTGTCACCATTGAAGGACAATCTTACAAACCTGGGCCTTAAATATGTTCAGAAATTCGCTAAAAGATCTGACAGCTTTTATACAGCACCTGCAGAGGTGAGTGCTGTGAGGAAGAATGTTTTGTTCGTTAGTTAGATTATTAAAATATATAATTGTTTCTTCAGATGTATAATTATTTGAAAGCAAATAGTGACATATTTCTCCCTATAATTTGTCAGCTGGGAGTTGTTTTGAATTCCATGAGAAGAATGCTTGATGTGCTGCTTCCAAAGGTTGAGGCCCAGCTGAAGACCTGGACTGCTTGTATCAATGATGCTGGAAGTGCTGTTCCTGGAGAGCATCTTACTGAAGTTACAATAATGCTTAGAAGCAAATTCAGGAACTACATCCAAGCAATTCTTGAGAAGCTAGTGGAAAATGTAAGTGGTGCTAACATAATTTATTACATAACCATTTGCATTCGTATTTCACAATTTATATTGAACAATGATTTCTGGTATTGACTGGCAAGCCCTCTTATGCGATTTTATATTAACAGTAGATCTCTATTAGGAGCATAATTACGTATATTAAGAGGTAAGCAGTTAACAGACTCATGAAAAAGGGTAGATAATATACAGGGAGCAAAGTTTAAGATATTCCTTTTACAAATTAAATGAGATGGAAGCATCTTCCCGAAAAAGTCTTATAAAATTAAGATTATTTTGTCACTTAAGCATGCAAGTACGAGTCCTAAGCTATATCCAATTAACTCATATCTCTATAATATGGTATTTTTTAAAAAATTATTCTTCTTGACATATTGTAAAATCACAGTAATTAATATAAAATCTTTTTGACGTTATACAAGCATCATCAATGCCGTCATTTTTCATAATAGAATTGCGGGAACACTGAAGCAGCTTTAATTTTTGACAAAACTCCATATTATCACTCCTATTAAGTGATGCACAGAAAGTTGTGTTCTCTCACTGTCTCACAGTAGGTTTGCACTCCTTGGGCTTGGATACAAAGACATTTGCTTAGATCATTAAAAACAAGACAGAGATGCTTCTGTTATTTCACCTTCTGAAGTTTCTCTTGTTTTGCAGACGAGATTGCAAAACTCAACTAAGTGGAAGAAAATAATTCACGATTTTAAAGAAACTTCTGCTGAGTCAGATGTACAGAGCAGAATGCAGCCTCTTCAAGATTTGTTGATAAAAACTATAGAGCATCTCCACTCAATACTCGAAAACCCTGTATTTCTAACAGTTTGCCGAGGCTTCTGGGATAAGATGGGACAGGTTAGACGGCACCCCCCTGGATAAGGTTTCAAACTCCATCTATTTATATTGTATGCTTTAGCTAATATACCTTCCTTTTTGCATCGTAGGAGGTTCTGAATTGTTTGGAGAACAACAAAGAAAACAGGTCCTGGTACAAGGGACTGCGAATTGCTCTACAAGTAAGTCCACCATATTTACAGCTTAATATGTTTTGTTCTTTACATATCTGAGTAAATGTTTTGTCCTTAACAAGACAAACTGTCATATTCATATAAAATGCAGGTGTTAGATGATACATTTACGTCAAGAATGCAGCAGTTGCTTAATTATCGTGTTCCAGACTCGGATCTAGAGCCACCCAGGTGTATAATAGAAGCACATTCCATGCTTCAGTAGGATTGTGTACGCAGCATAGAGAGTATATTTCACTACAAAAAGACTTTTCTTATTCAATTTGGGGGGTCTGATCCTGATAGGCGCTGAAATCAAAGAGGGTCTGATCGTGTCCACTGCTATCCTAGCCACCATATTTTTTCTGTCTAAGAAGCAGTGCTAGCTCTATAGGTAAATCTAGTATATACAATATTCCAAAAAAAAAAAATCCAGATATAGTTCAGTCAGGTGTGTATAGAAAACAGCTACTGATTTTTTGTCCATTTTTCCAGTGGGGAGTTTTGTCATTCATCCGAATCTTCCCCATTATTACCAAAAATACTATAATTCATTGTTGATTCTATATCTATGGAGTTGAGAAAATTCTTGTGTATCGGTGTATGGAATATGTTTAGCAGGTGGGCAAGAAAGCTGTAGATCCGAGATGTCGTAGCTTAGAAGACTAGGATAATAGTATATTGCTTACTGCTCCTTTACATATTCTGATATATTAGGAAGAAGCTATGCAATTGAGTATTTGTGAAATATGCTTAACTCTGTTCCAAAATAATACAAGTGCAAAGTATTCTTGTTTAATAGATTCGTCTCTTACTATTTTTTATATATTCTGTTCTTGTTTACTCGTTGTGTATTTGGGTTTTATTAGGTTATATATAGTTAGTATTTTATAATTATTTCTTTCGTATTTTGATGTATTTCTCTTGCATTATTCTACGGAGTAATATTTCCCTTACCACGTTGATTTGGGGTCAAGGAAGTATGTAATATTTCCCTTAGCAATATTTTTGGCAAGTTTTGGTCATTCCAACTTTGCACATATCTACTTTATTTTTGGCGATTTTATCAACTAAAAAGTCAAGGTGATAAAAAAATCGGACCGGGTCGGGCCTAACCATAATTTCTCTTGCCCAAACCCGTAAAAAGTAGTGGGCTTTTTTTGGGTCGAGTTTGAGCTTATTCGCCCTATTTTTGAGTCGGGTTAACAGGCGTGACCGATGTTGATCACCTCTACTAAAAAGTATTTTTCTTTGAATCACTCAACTTATAGACTTGCCTCTTCAAACAAGAGTACCAAGTAATAGTAATCAGATAAATACATTAAATAAAAGAAAGAAAGAACAGCGACATTAGCAAATACATATCCCAAAATGTTCCAAGTTTACAATCATGGGACATACTTTAATGGGTGGGCTGTGGGTCTTGTGATTTTGTCCGTCATTGTCAGCTTCTGTCAATCTTTGATTACTCCACTATTTGGCACATTCTGTGATCTCATTTTTTGGCACCTTATGTGATTCTATTACTGTTTTCTTTTTAATTTTTCATTTTTGACATAAGCGTAAAGTTATTACGACTACAATTTATTTTGTTATATACCCTGTAATGACTAATGAGTATATAGAGATCTCGACATATTAACGATCAAAATTGTACATAAAAATAAATGAAAAATCATCAAGTTGAGTATAGCAAAACCCGAATTTAAAATTCGGGGAAGTCTCTATGAACTGCCAATGCCCAATAGTGTAATAGCACAAGGCAGAATGATAGAGACATGATTAAATTATTGATTTATAGAATATTAGCACATACATTAACCAAATCTATATAGCTGCTATATATTGTTACTGGCCGACCCAACAATAATATAGCGTATCATTGATTAGGTTAATTGGCTGTTAGCAAGAATTTATGCCATGATATACTCTGATTGATTCAAAATAATGGAGCAACTGCTTATTATGGATTATTATATAATATAGTGGTGTACCAATATTATGGACCTTTTTGTATGAATAACAACGTCATTTCTTTTCTAGGCATCAAAATTCAGTGCACTGCATTATGCTCTAGAATGCCAAGTTGGTAACATGGATCAACCACGTGTACGGTCGCGATGGAGGAATAAAATCAGAAAATTCAAGTTACATGGCTTGTAACTAAGGCATATATTCACATAGGTACAAACTGGGGAAGGGGTGTGTAATGAAGGTTCCTGTCAACTTTTGGAACTTTGGGTTAGTTACTACGAAGTACTTACTAGTAGTAGTTAGGGTGTTTGTGTTTGTTTGGGAATTAGGTATATGCTAATTTGACTAATACACTAGGAGAATAGAGAACTTGTGGAATCCACACCCCCCTTTTATTTTCATATGTTTGTACTTTACACACTCCATGTCTTCCTCTAGTCTTAAGGTGGCGCTGAGCCATTTCGTACGTTGGCCTAGAGATCACCAATTGAGTATGTGTCGCGCCTAGTGGATAATTAGGGCTTGTTATATGTATTAGCGGATCACTTATCGACCTGTCATGTGTCATGTTGATTATTATAAACGAAACTAAGGGTGGTGTAGTGTAGGGCTAAAGTCAGGACGGGTGATACCACCTCATTACCAATTCTACGCTTTATATTTTCACCCTTGGGCATGGTCTTGTCACTTATTTTGAATATGAAAATGTATCTATTTGATAAAATTCGTGATAAATTTGAACTTGTTTGGATCAGGTTTTGTTCAAGCTAGTTTTAGGTAATCATTTATTTAGTTTAACTTTTGATAATCAATTCAAGTTGGTGTAATTGAATTAGTCACTTCATTCTAACCTTGTATCAATTCCCTAATTGTACAACAAAATCAATCAAATTTAAATACTTTGTAAAAAAAGTTGGGAATTTCTCATATTTTCTACAAAATTTGATCATTATATGATCATAATAGAATTTAAACAAATGTATTTTGTCCCAACTTGATTATATGTCTAGATTCGCCAGTGTTGATGGATTAGAATTTGGAAGAAGTCCAAAGTAAACCCCGTTCTACATCACATAACTTCGAGTAAAGACAAATAATCCAAATAAGACAAATAATCAAGTACACAAGATAACTTTTCATGATTATTGATTAATAATCAATTGACATTGGAATGGACGATGTATATCATCTTTACGTGCTAGAACAAGCATAGTAGTTAATCTAATTAACTGGTACTAATTATATATTGTTGAAGTAGTATAACCTTGTCTTTCCAGCTTTGCAGGAGCAAGTTTGTATGTAAACGGCACTTGACGCAATATACTCTTGAATTTTATACTCCGTAGTTCCTTTAATTAGCCAAGTAAGGTTGTAACTAGGGAAGAATAAGTCCAAATTAAAGCTCATACCTTTGAATTGCCGACCGTTAATAAAGTCTATTACAATGCTTAAAGTTAATTAAAGTATATAATAATACATCACTATCATAGAAATTGCCTCTAGATAGATACCAAATATAATCAATTAGGTTGACCAAATATTATATGATTATACTCTAGTTTGAAGAATTAGTTCATAATCCTATATTATTAGTAGTAGATTAGCATAGCAAGTGGTGATTGTAACTTGTAATTACTCTCAAATCATAAGTCTAACACACGTTATGAAGAGACAATGAGGCTAAATCCAAGCATAAAAGGCCAATTATGCATTTGACTTTGTTTCAGATAAAATTTTCATGTTTATCTAATCTCTTAAGATTGCGATTATGCCATAATTTTTACAAATTGTGTTATAAATTATAGCTTTTTTGGCTCTATTATCCATCATTACTTAGTGCGAATAAGGAAATATATAGTATTAGTACATATTTTAGAAAAGTTAACAGTAATTTTTTGTCATTTCAAGATAATATGAATAACGATAAGAAACAAACTTATAAAAAGAACGATAAGACTTATGTGTATTATCAATTTGGTAACTATGCGTTCATGATTATGTAATATTAAAAACAAGAATTGATTTGATGAAGGTCTTTTGATATCTTGAAAGAACCATACAATTGGAGTAAATAAGGTTATCTTACAAATTGAATTTACCAAGTCTTGAACAATTTTCAGTTGATAGCGTTGATCCATTCTTATTTCCTAGATTTATACTAGTACAATACAACTTGGTTATTTTGTTAATTTTATCATCCATCTAGAATTCTAAATGTTGTGCAAAAATGTTCACATTATGCTCAATTGATTCACACGTACCTATTACAAAGTATAAAAGATCTACTATTAGTTTAACAATACAACAATTGAAAATTACAAGGTATTCTCATTTTTGTTTATTTTGACATGCATTCTCAGTTGTGAACTTGTGATATTAAATTAATTGACTTTTCTCCTTGCATTGAACTTTTTGTTGATATTTAGTGAAACCATCATTAAATAACACTATGTACACTTTTCTCTAAATACAAAATTAAAGTTGGAATTCATTATTCATAGAACATTTTCAATACTTTTCTCCCTATTTTTATTTTGTGGCTACTTTTTGTGTAGCAAGTTCACAACGTTGCCCTCAATTTATTTGTATTTACATGATTAAAATTATGTAATTGAGTTGTTTTTAATCATATTTTCTTTCTGTTTAATGTGACTTAGTTCTTTAGATAAGTTTTCTTAAATTAAATTAACTTGAAGCCGCTAGATCAAGTATCGTTCATTTGTTATAAATCTTATAATCCTGTTTTTAGTTTTTACTAAGATATGAATGAAATTAAATGAGACTCATTTGTAAATGAGTGTTACATGCTTTATCAACAAGTGCTATGGAGTATTAATTACCCGTATGCTAACTGTCTAATGTAATATCTACTATTATGGATCAGAGTTCTAACAAGTCAAAATAAAAATTCCTCAAAAATAATAAAAGTCAATTAAAATCTTTAAAGTCCAACACAAATTTTGACTTTCTTCCAAAGTTTGTATGGAGTATTTGACTTTCCTCCTAATATGCATTATAAATAAATACTCCAAAAAGTGTTAAAAACTCCCTTACAAATTAAAGATTGTAAAACTCTTCCTTCAAAAAAAAGAGGGAGTATTTTTTTTTTTTTTACCTCTAACTCGTGGTGTTTAACACCGCAAGAAACCCATTATTTAAACTTAAATTATTGTATATTGTGACATGTAATATAAAATGATTTGCAACAACAATTAATTGAATACACCTATAACCTATTGATTTAAATAAACATCTCTCCTTTGTCGATCAAACATCCTACACATCAACTTTTTATGCAATCACCAAATTAACCAACAAACAAAATCTTTCAAAATATTAAACTAAACACTCCATATAATAGATCAACACCTAACAAAAACACAATATCAAAAAACATACTCCATTCAAAAAACACAATCACAAACCCCAATTTTTAATCATACTCGTTGAAACATCTCATGAACATACGCAACGAATATTACAATTTCAACACGCTGAATACGAAATTACCAAATTACCCCCCAAACAGCTGTTAAACACTGTACCAAATCACACTCCTATAATCCCCAAGTTCAAGGAACCCCCAACAAAAACATTAAATGTACCATTACCTTTCCTAATTATCTTCGTCATCATCATTACTTAAATTACCATTATACCCTTTCATTATTTTCTAATTTTGAATTAATCAGAAATCTTTGAGGAGTTTACGGACTTGTTCCAAGGTAACGAAAAGCACAACAGTAAATGGGCCCTGCCTAGAAATGGTAGGAATAAACCCTTTGTAAAGAGCCATGATCCCCTCAGATCGGACGGTCTTCAACGCA